CTCTAGTCTTCACTTCGACCACTGTCAGAGCACTAGGGAGGTTAGTGGTGCAGATCGCTTTCGTAACGACAGTCGACTGAACCCCCTCAGGTAGGTCCCCAGTCCTCCCCTCCGAACGATCTCAGGCATTCTGCATTATGCGACTCTCAGTAGAAAATTTACAGTCGCGACGATCAAAGGAGACAATAGCTAACTCACTAGACTCGTCAACAAGGCAGCCATACACAGACCTCAAGAACTAAGTTCCTTTCTCCCGTCAGCCAGTAAAAATGGTTCAGTTCATTCCCGTCCTCCCTCTCATCTCTTCAACATGTAAGTGCCCTCGTGAACTTGGGCTGGCAAGATCTTCGGAGCCCTGGTGAGACAAAGGCACACAACTGACATTACTAATTTCCTCCCAGTTGCAGTGCGATGAGCGAGAAGTATGGCGGTGATCTAACAAGGTTCTTCACAGCATAGTAACTTCAACTGCAGGAGGACAATCAACCGCGGGAGGGTGTTCAATATTCACCGCCAAGAATCAGTCATAGCCAAGATGGGAAACTAGGCGGATCATGCATGAACCTCTGACGTCAACAACGGAGCCACATCTGTAGCTCTTTCTTGTAAGTCTGATCCCCGCCGTACCAGTGCATTACACGCCTCGCATGTTCCCCATGTCACAACTCAAACCTCGTTCAATTCTAAACGCACACAACCCAGTCTCTTCGGTACTTCCTTCTCTCCAGCTCCTTCCCTCTTCACGCATGCCAGTGCTAGTACACTTCCCTGCTGATCACGTGTACCTTGTTCAGAGCCCGCGCACAATACTTCCCCCCGTATGCTCACTCGAGAGTTCTGCTCACTCAAGGAATCTCAGCATAACATCCAACCAGGCTAGTGCCCGAGTTCATTCTCGCCATGGCATAGGCGAAACCTGAGACGGCCACCAGCACCCGACACACCTTCTGGTCAGCGAGGCTCCCCTGTCTCTCGATTCCCTAGCCCCCTCTCGGTCGTCACGCGTGTCCCCTTGACTGTAACTGCCTTTTTCTCCTGTCCCGTCGTGAGCTGCCTTCAGCGTATCGCTGCCTAGCGGCTGGTCCTTCCGTCCTCGTGAATTCGCCTCTGGGCCCCTCTCCACAGGCTCCGTTGGCGGGTGGTCCCGTCGCCACTATTCCAGACCGTGCCCAGATCGGGCTGCCTCTGTGTCACTCATTTCCGACTCTCCTTCGGAGACCCGGTCGAGGTGCTGCTCCTCCCTGGTCGTAGTCCCAGTCCACGAGTTGTCCTCATGGTAAGTAACCGTTACTCGCATACCTGCAGTCACACCGTCTCGCCTGCACCTCCGCTCAACTTTGTTGCGCGCCTCGGTAAATATAGCCGCTTGCAGTTCCTCGTCTCTCCTCATCTCCTGCTCCGGGTGGCCACATACGTTGATTTTCAGCCTCACCTCCCCCGTAGGCCTCCCGTAGGACAGTATCGCCTCAACCAGCGTGCCTTTCTCATCCTCTCGATCCCACGCCCAAGAGTACCTCATGTACCTTGGCCTGTAGCCACGCAACCCATTTCGGTACGCCATAGCCGCCTTTCCCAGTAATAGCTAGCACCCGATACTGCAGCGGTGGCTAGCTTCTCCCTAGGACAGCTGAGGCACCTGACGTCCAAACTCAAACCTGCCCGCGGTTCGAGCTTACTATCCTTAACTCGGCTATCCAGACCGCCGAACACAAGCTGACCGGCCAATAGTGAACCTGCGACCACTTCCCCTTCTTTTTATAAATTCACGACCTGCTGAGCTACCAGTGTTCTAAACGAGACACTTCGGATAACTTTCAGATCGATAAAAGAAAGGGAAATAAAATCGAACCGCGTCAGAATAATAATCTAATCTTATTAGAGTAAAAAAAAAGAAATCAGTGGCCATTTTAAGTAATCATTGCCCACAGCTTCTTCACCCCGACCTGAAGAGATTGCGGTTCAGTGCATAACCGGATACCGACTGTCGTGCTTCTCCTTTCAAAGGTGGTCGTCGAGCCACCCCTGAAGGGTACCCTTATCCGATGGTAAGGAGGGGGCTCATGACCTCCATCGGGGTGACGAGTCTCCTACCGATGCGGCCGCGGGTACTCCCATTTTGGGGATCCTGTACTGATTGCGCCTTATCGGCCGAACCGACGGTGGTCAAAGTGCAAAGATCTGGTAGTCCAGGCCGTCCGAACTTAGTTCAGAATCCGAAACCATGACTGTTCGCTCTCCGTGAAATGACAAGGGGGAGGGTAGAGAGTTTAAAAGAAAAGGGAAAGGAGAAACAAGAAAACGCTACCACTAGGGACTGTCACATCGCCCATTTCCAGTCAGGGCTTAGGTTCAGATGCAAATTTGGATGGCAGTATTTCTCCCTCAATGTCTCTCCCTTTTTGCTTTCCTCCTCACCATTCCCCTTTCTCTTTTTAACCCCTCTTCTCTTTTCTTTAGGCTCCTGTCCCATGATCCGACTATAGGGACCTGGTGCGCAGTTTGAAAAGACCACGCTGGGCAAAGCCCAGCTACGCACCGCTCGTCTTGGGAGCCTCAGCTGGACCAGCCCCACAACAAGGAGCGTCCCAGACGGAGTGCCGCGGGATTTCCTGCCTAGTATACAGCGGAGGTTCATGAGCAGGCACTCGGTATGCAGCGGAGGGCCGGGACACCGCCCCCTCCGACAGCATGCAGGAGTGCGCCCATGCGCTGCATTGGCGCGTGTGGGTTGGGCTGGTGTTACATCTTCGACTCACACGGGCCCTACCGGACCCGACTTAGGGCCGGAGGGACACACCAGGGCCTAAAGGCCCGACCTTTTTTTGGGTTACAGGCCCTAAAGGCCTGATTTTGGMCCAGCACCCATCGGGTAGGCCCAAACGACACTTCGTTTGGGCCTGGCGGCGCTCTTGAAGCTGCCGCCCGCCGATTGAGGCTGAACCGTCCATCTGGACGGTCCAGGGTCTGGCCTGGCCTCGCAGCATTGAGGCCAGACCATTGCCTACCGGTATAAGTACCGGTAC